GGGGGGGGGGGGGGGGGCAGGCCCCACCAATTGCACTCCCATTGTACATGGCGTTGAAAGGATCCATATGAGCTGTGTGTACCTGCTTGCTGGCAAGATGAGCTGATGCGGCTTCAAAAAAGCGGGGGGAGCCCGGCCCCCATTTGCAGACAGAAAGCCTGTATCATGGGTCTTGACAAATTCAACAGTTCGCCTGCGTGATGGATTTGCAAAACCGAAAACTTCTAGACTTCTGCCGGACGGCGCGATGTTCTTTGACAGCAAGCCACGCACGGCACAAAACGAAAGAGGGGCGTTGGGGGGGCGCAGCCCCCCCATTTGCAAACCCGATGTATGTACGCATTACGGGTTCTGAAAGGGACCATATCTTGACAGCAAGCCATGCACGGCACAAAAAGAAAGCAGGGGGGCTCAGGGGGCGCCCCCCATCGCAAACCTGACATATGCATGCACTACGTCATTACGGGTTCTGAAAGGGTCCATATCTTGACAGCAAGCCATGCACGGCATAACAAGAAGGCGGGGGGGTTGGGGCGGGCGCAGTTGAGCTGTTGGTGGCTGGCAGCATTTTACAACCCGTCTACAATCACGTATCCGAAGATGCCCATAGCTCTTAAGAACAGGTTACCAAAATCTCATCTCACTAGTACTCGCGAGTACTAGTGAGTTGAGTCCTTCAAAAGGCACCTCTGTCAAACCACCAAAGTTTTATCGTGTTGCTATCCTTTTGGACAGTCAGCTTGCCTGGGATTTGGGAGGCTGCATCTAGCAAGTCTTCAAGTTTCAGTTTGCAGAACTCAGTTTGCACAAGCAAGTGCAGCCTTTCAAGTTGGTATCAGTAAGATGCAGTAGGAGTAGGAGTGGTACGAACAGGACAAGTCGTGCTATATTGCCAGTATGGACTACCAGTACCACGAGTACTACCACTAACACTAGCAGCACCCATAGCATTAGTACTACTCGTAACTCCTTGGTATAGTACTCCTGTACTACAGATTCACACCTGCTCGTTTCATGTTGACTTCTGAACCTTGTACAGCTAACCACACAAGGGGCATCCCAAAACTAATCTACAAGAACCCCCTTCTTATACAACCTGAAGTTTGATCTGCTGAAATTACCGAGGCATTGTGATTGGTTTTTGTTCTGGGCATTTCAAGTGATTCAACTGTGTCTGAGCCGAAGAAGCACGGCGCTGGCACACATGGTACGCAGGAGCTGTGTATGAGGCTGGTAAGAAGCTTTTGCAAGTCTACGCAAACAACCAAGAACCAGGCAGCCGAGAAGCCAGGAAGCTAGCAATCCGAGAAGCCAGGAAGCCGGAAAGCCAAGGTGAAGAAGCCAGGAAGCCAAATAGTTGAGGAAAGTTTGGAAGCCAAGAAGGCAGCAAACCAGGAAGGAAAGCCCAGAAGCCGAGAGGCCAAAACGCAAAAACAAAAAAAGCTAAAAAATACGATTCGTTTGAAGAGTGCCACTGAGTAACTGCAAACAGCCGAGCTGCTACAGTACCTCGTGAGAAGGCCGGCAGAGTTGCTTTTGTCATACAAGCAATGGACAAGAATGATGATCGCACGAAGACTTCATCATGCTGGCACAGAAAGATACTGCACTGCACTGCACCGGGGCCACCGCTCTCGTCATGTCGTTCACGGTCATGATTCGCGGCGCGGCTTGGGTCTCGTTTCCTCTCAATTTGCCAGCATGAAGGTTCAAGTCAAGGAAACCCTTAAGCTCGAACAGCAAAGCGCTCCATCCAAGCTGATGGCGGTGTTTTGTCTGCTAAGCCTCGGAAGGGCGAGGCCAACAGACAAACGCTAGCTGCTCCAATGTTGCACGGCTACGTTTTCAAACGTCATGGCCGCAAGACATAATGACATCCAGTTCGACCGTGCTCTCACTCTCAATCAGCATCCGAATTGAAACATAAGCCAACTGGTCCAAGCATGGTGCGTTCTGGCCGTGAGGTCCCCGAAGGTTTGCTGCCCACCCTGCGTGGGGTTTGCATGAGCACTGATCGCGGCTGGATTTTTAGCAAGACGTCTTATGCTCTTTTACCAATGACAGGTGCCGAATTGCAACGGCCTGTGAGACGGGTCCTGCTGCACCTGGTGCATCGGCACGGGCATTCGCCCCAAGGTTGACGTGCTATGCAGAGAAATTTCCGACCGGGATGCCTTAGCCTCTCGCCACGCCTTCCCCGCATGCCTCGGCTTTCCCAGCCTCTGCACTCTCTTCAGTCCCGGCTTGAAGTCGATAGACCCGATGCCAGAACCATGCCAGGTGGAGGATTGCCCAAACAAGATTGAAGACGCCCCAGAAGTGGCGGGCAAGATCCTCATCGTGTTCCGACAGCTGGAACCATTCAGCAGGGCCAGCAGGCTCGGGAAGAAGCTTCAGCAGCAGACGGTCAAGAACAACCCAGGACCAAAGACTGAAAGCTCGCACCTGAAGCCAATATGAATTCATCCACGGGTCCAAGGCTGTTCCGTGGCTTTGCAACACCCAGAGAATTCTCTGGCTCTCCAGTATCGGCACGAGCAAGATTGGCAAAGTCCAGTCATTCAGAAGTCGGATGTGAAACATGAACAAAGCATTCCATGAAGTGTACAACCACACCCAGGAGACTGGAAGTCGGCAACACATATCACCGAAGCGTCTACTCTTGGTCTCCATCAACACAACATACCAATCTGAAATCCGAGCTCTTAGGTCCTCATCGGACACATCCAGACCCTGGAGCTCTGCTTGCATGGCGGCCATCTCGTACTTACGAATCCAATCCAAGGGATACTGGAAAAGCGCTGCCCCTGGCAAGGGAGTGCTTGCTACCAGGCAGAAGCCTGTGAGAGCGTTCAAGTAGTATTGATGCGACAGGTCAGTTAGCACCGCAACCAGGATATTCGCAGAAAGAAGCAGGTAGAGCACTATGTGTGGCCAGACAGAACCTCTGAAGTGGCGAACGCAGAAGCCGTAGACCCAGCCATTGAAGGGCCAAGCAGCTTCATCCGGGGCACATGCTACGCACAAAGCTGTCATGAGCATCATGAATGCTGAGACGATAAAGGCCTTTATCAGGAAGAACAGCTCTGAGTGATCCGACGATGTTGCAATAAATGCCGGGAAGGCGGCCACTAGTGGCACGAGAAGCAAGAACATTGGCTTCCAGGGCCGGTAAAGCCAGCCATGAGCAAGCGCCCCAGTCAGGGCAAATAGAGAAATCCGCCACAAATGTAGCCAGCAGCTGAGCTTCTCCTCGGGCAAGTCGTGCACAGGTGCCTGCCTGTGGATTTCGAGCGAGCCTCTGATTGAATTGAAATCGATGGCCGTTTCAACTTGCAGTAGGGTCAACTCGTCCAGAGTGGTTTCGGGCTGGGTGCAACCAGCTGGACCTTGGCTTCGGCCGGCTGCACACAAGCTCAGTACAAGAGCCAGCCAGCGCCATGCTTCCATGCGCGGAACGCTTCTGCAAGTTGTGTAGTGAAGAGCAAGATAAGGCAACAGTCCCTGTCTAGCTGGTCTAGCTCCCGCTCATTCCGATTCCTGACTTTTAAGAATGAATCATATGGAGTCGGTTCGGTAGCCACTTGGGCAGTCGTTTGCTGCGTACAGAGGCGGACAGCACTGCAGAGTCATTGGACGTGACGTGACTCACGATGTGCCTCTCAGCAAAAGTTCTGAAAATCTCTCCGCTATTTGTCCAAACTTCTACCATGCCTGTGTGCTCACCGGCTCACTGGCGAGCCAAGTGCATTCTGTCGCTCCTAGCCGCCTGGCCCGGACGGACATCCGAGGTGCGGGCATCTGACAGGCCAGACATCTGGCGAGCAAGTTCCGTTCGCGGGGAATCCCCTTGACCTGCACTCGTCCGTCACTTCCCTAGCCCCAGCAAGCAGTAGCCCACCTGAGCTCTCAGTCGTACGGCGTTTCAAAGCCTGACTCGAGTAGAGTAAGCGAGGAGCTGCAAGGAGATGGTCCCACCATGTCCCGCCTGCACAACCTTTGATTGGCGCTCCCGGAGCTTCGACATCTTGGACAGTCGATCGTCCCCGGCACCTCGCCCTGCACGTCAGGTGGGCGGGGTAGCATTGCTCGTGCTATATAAGGCAGACTGCATGGCCGATGCAGCTGAGGGCTCGTCCATTGAGAGCATGGATAGACTTCCTGAGGAAAGAGATATGCTTTTCTTGACGGCTTCAGACGAGGCATGCTGGGCGATAGAGAAATAGAGAACTCCATAGAACTCCTGTCCTGTCAGACTCGCCGCCTGCGCCAGAGGCTAAGGAAGGGATCGCCCCTCCCATGCCATAGGACCTTCGGGGGCAAAGTCGCCTTCTGTCACAACATCTTACGAGTAGATCTTTTTCTCTGATCCGTAGCGTAGCGTAGCGACGAGCTCCGCACTCCTCGGAGCAGCGGTCGGATGCGGCGGAGGCCAGGTCCAGCTTCTCGAGCCTGCCCTGCAGGCCCTGCAGCGTGGAGCTGCAGCTCGTCTGCTTCCATGCAGAATGACGACGACCCCGAACCTGCTGTGCAGAGAAGGACAAGCTCCTCAGTTGCTGGCCAAACTGTTCAAAAGCAAAAGTTTAGATGCCCTCGAGGTACTGCACGCTTTCTGGAGTTCCAGGGTCGAAGCTTCGTGCAGCCTAGAAGCGACATCTTGCGCGGGTGCTTCCAAACCTCTGCCCTCCAAACACGAAAATTGGAGCAAATAAGCTGCGGCCGTGACTTCTCTGAGGCTCAATTGGGCACCGTGCACAGGAGTGTATTGGGATACTACTGGCAAGCCGGCTGAACTGTCGGACAGAGAGTTTCGGTCCCTGCTGGCAGGGGTCCCGTTCTGGCTTTGACTTATCTCTGCGGTCCGTGTTGGTCATCCTGTGCCCTGTCAACATCCGGCTCAAGCAATGACGGCACCCACGACAGCACGCGCAAACCCTTGTGGAGGACCTCGGCGACGCAAACGTTCCAAGAACTCCAGGCTACTGCTTGGCATGACAACCGCGGAGCATAGCGGAGGCCAATCTGCTGCTAAGCAAGAACGCCATCTGCCTTTTCTAAGTGCGGATCTTCAACTGCGGGACAACCCGGCCAGAGCGGTGTTGTCTTGCACCGCTCCGGTGGGAAAGGAAGGAGCCACTGAGCATCGAAGTTTCAAGATCGCTTCGAGGCAGATGTTTCAATGGACATAGCCACCTTCGTCAGATGTCCGGGACGTGGCCGTTGCCGCAGTAGAGCCTGGTCACCAAGCAGCCGACTGTCGCTGTGTGGCTCAGGCCGCCTGCGGAGCTACCTGTGTCGGTGGACCTGGCATGTGCAGAGAGATTGAACTGCATATCGCACCTGCCTGAGAAATCCTTTACCTTGTGGACTTCCTGCCCGTGAGCAGGACAGTGGTCGCCGGCCTTGGTGCTGTGATGTTTCTGACGGAACCCCGCAGTCAACGGAAAGCCGGATCAGACTTCAGAAACAAGCAGAACCAGGGACTTGACCTGTCGGCGTGCTCGCACCGCTCTGATATCCGGCGGAGACCTGACTGAGTAGTTCTCCATCTAAACGGAACGGGTCAAACATCAGGGGCTCGAGCAGCTCCGGCCACGGGCAGAGGCTGGCCCTTGTCCCAGCAACGAACCTTTGGAGCCACCTGCGCGAACTTCTAATAGAACCCCACGGCCCTTCGCCGAAGCCACCGACACCTTGGACCAGTCCTTAGGAGGTGTACGGCGCCCTGGTGGACAGCGGCGAGGTTCCTGAGGCGGCACCAACACGGGAGCTGGCCCAAAGGAACTGAAACAGTGTGAAAGAAGGAAAGCATGGAGTCGAGTCGAGGAATGAAGCTGAAAGCTGTGGCATCTTGCTTTCGAGATCCGAAAACTGGCACGACCTTGAGCTGCCGGTGAGCGCGTGCACAGGCTGCTGCTCTGTCTCACCCAGGATGCAATCAATTGCCATACGCTCTCCACCAATGCTTGAGGAATAGATACACACTCCGTTGCTTCACCTCTATGATCCACAAGCCTGCAGCCTGCCCAAGGTTGCAATTATCTGACAGGTCACTTGTCCGCAAATGGACGTCTGGACTAGGGCACTTTGGCCAGGTGGTGATTCTTTGGTTGTTGAAACAACTTCACCAACAAAATTGTGGATTGAGCCTTGTCTTTGACGAAGGCCTCCCAGATCATTAACGCAACGTCTTTCAACACGGCTCGCTGCCATCTGGCTGCACCACTTCATCACATCCTCACAAGGTGGCAGGTGTCGCTTGGAGCACGGCGATGACACAATGCAATTCACTGCATGCCACTACACCGCCTACGATTGGGGCGCTTCCTGCCTGGACATGCCTCGGGCAAGATGGAATGGCAAGTGTTGGAGGCGTGTGTCGGCCTGGCGGGATCACGTGGCGGAGAGAGAATCTGAAAGGGCCCACCATCGCATGTTTACGAAGCCTGAGACTGTTGCCCGAATACGTTCGTCATCACAAAACAAACATGAAGCGAAAACACTTCAGCCAGTCCTTTTGCTATCGTGCCAACACAACAACTAAGGTTCAACATTTGTTCCAGAAATTCTTACGTAGGGCGGGAGAAACTGATACCAGTGCTGCTCCGTATACGGGTCTTGTTCGGGGGCTATTGTTACAAGCAAACCCGGGGAACTCTCCATCCAGGACGATGACTCAAGCACAGTGCTCGTGCCTCAGTATCCTTGTGCCTGACAGAACTGAACCCAATCAGAAGGAAGCGAAGGTTGCCAACGCAGGTCTGGCCACATGCCCACTGCTCACGGACATGATGGCTCGATTAACATGGCTGAAGCGTAATTGAGAAAGCCCGATCTCTGTCTCAAGTACATGCTCTGCTTGTCAGTTTGGAGAGAACCGAACCCGTGTTCGAATCTCACTGAGTCAGCTGGCCGCGTACTGGAAGGACCATGGAGGCCCGACCCCAGCCATCAAGAACTCTGGTGTCCTTGCCTGCATAGCTTGGGACTTTGCTGCCTTGGGCTGCTCCTGTCACCAGGGAACCACGGTAGACTCGTGGAGGAACAATGGCACGAAGCTCGGGTTGTAAGGATTCTAAAAACGAATGGTGGCAATGGTATAGCAGTCAACATCAAGTGGGAGGCCAAAGCTTCGTGTGCCGTTCACATTCGGCGTACTCACAGCAGCCGATCATTGGATAAGGACAGGATAGCGCTGGCGCGTGCCGAGTGCAGCGTGCTGCTAGATCAAGCAGTTTATTGATGTACAGGCTCGCCCAAGTCACGCAGACCGTCACAGACCTTCACACTCTTCCCCCGCGCATCGTCACCTCGAAGGAGCGCACGAAGGCCGCCAGCCGCGGGAAGTCGTCCACGCGCGCGGCGGTCGGCAGCCGGGCCAGGAGCAGCATCAAGCTCTTCACCTCGGAGGGAGGAGTGCTCCGTGGAAGAAGGAGACAAAAACGCAGGCGCAGCAGGAGAAGGGCAGCTCAGTTGGTGTTGGTGTTGGTGTTCGCTTGGAGCGCGGGGGCCCGGACGGCTTGGTTGGCGCGCTTGATGAGCTCGGCCTGGACGTGCCTTTGGTCGGTCTTCCCGAGGATCTCCAGCTCCTCCTCGTTTTGCTTCGCGGAGGCGCCTCCAACGGGGATGGAGCGAGGGCTTTTTAGGGCCTTTAGGGCCTTTGGGGGCCTTTGGCTCAGATTCTGGATTCTGGGCCGCACACGCGAGCTTCTCACACAGGCTGACACTTGCAGACACGCTGGGCCGTCACAAGACACCCGGCCTGGATTCGGTTCCGAGCGCGGCTTGCCAGCCCCACTTCCTCGTCGCGCCTGGGGAGTCACCGCTCACAATCAGAAGGGACCCTGGATAATAACAACAACACGAGCCTGCATGACTGAATCCAGAACACGTGCATCGTTGAATCGAGTCCCAAGATCTCAGAAGCAAGCCCCAACTGCGACTTAACGACATTCCGAAGTTTGATGTTCCCGCTACTTGAGAAGGAAAGACTTGAGAGTTGCTTCTAACTTCCAGCCTCGCTGACATTCTGCCTGGCTGGCTTCCTGGAGGGCCGGCCCTCCACTGACCTTGAAACCTGACAGTCGTTCCTCGCGTAGTCTTCAGAAGCATCCCGTCAGCAATTCAGCAAAGCATGAACCTTCGCTGGGTTGCAGTTCTTGCCGGCGTGGCGGCCTGCTGTGAAGACATTTGATGGACGACTACAGGCACATGCAGCGCAGCCAGTATCTGACAAAAGATAGAGCTAAGTTCAAAAAAGGACTTGAGATGCTGCGAATCTGCAGGTCCCCTTCAAACAACGTGCAGAGGCGAGGGAGCGCGGCACGACATGCTTCCACACTGCTTGCACCTCTGCAGTGCACGCAGCGATGCTGCAAACCATGAGGACAGCGACCGGAGCACTGACCTTCCCAGCTCTGCTCTCTTTGCGGCAGCACCCCTAAATCAGTCGCCAGCCTGTCTGATAAGGGCCACAAAGAGAAAGGCGCTCCCTCTCCTGGGACCATCGGTTTCGCGACTGCTTCGCTTCCTGGCTCAGGCTCAGCGGCTGAAGGAATGCTTGCTCCAGGTTGCAACTCCACTGAGGCTTATAGGGCTCCAGACAGAAACGCAAAGCATATCCCTTCAGCCCCAAGCTTTCACTCATGCGGCGTTCATCGCCCACGGCCTGCAGAGTGTCCTGGCAGAACCTGGGAAATAGCCGGAAGTCGTCGTTCCAGGTGCGGAGAGATTCGGTAGATCCTTCGCTGGAAAGACAGGAAAGAACAAGGAATTCAGGGAAGCCACCATTTCCAGAAGGTCCTGTGAGAGACTTGGACCAGTCTCCCGCGAGGAAATCCATGGAGCCAATGGAGTTCTGGAGACGGTCCAAGGACTCGACCTCGAGACTCCACTTAACATGGCCCCTGTGCCCTGGCAGGCTCCCGGCAGAGGCAGTGTGCCAATCCGCCGCTGCTCTAGGTGAGGCATCCTGCAAGGGCCGCAGGCAAACCCGACGTGCCTTGAGATGTTCGGTGTTCCCATTCTATGAACGGTCCTGGCTCTGGTTCTCTGGGCGCATCTTCCTGCAGGCCAACTTGATTCCCCGACTCGAGTTCTGGCAGAGATCAGTAGCTGCGCTCGCAGAAACTGCAGCTGAGAGGCATGTTCGCCCTCACAGTGCGGCGTGGCGAAGCGATGGGGGCCGAAAGCTGGAGAGGACAAGCGCACAAAGCATAATACAATGTTGCAGCGTTCGGATCCAGGACTTCACAGCACGTGCCTGCTCCCACGGTCCATGCTCAGTCTTCAGCCACTTCCAATCCTTGCTTTGACAGAGGCGACGCAGCTCGGCGACACGGCGAGCAGCCTGCAGCCGTGCTTGAGACTGTGGCTAGCCACTCGAGTGCGCATGGTGCTTTACAACATCCGCCGACTGGTGAACCTGCCTTTCGACACAAGCGCAGCATCTCGTGCAGCTGGGCCTGCTCCTGAAAAGACCAGCCACTCACGTCTCATTCACTGTGCTGTGATCTGCTTGTGATGCAGAGTACTAAGGCTTACTAAGGTATGCAGTAAACAAGCCAATGATATGGTTGTCTCAAGTCGCAGAGACTGGCTTCAGCTTTGACTCATGGCAGCAGGCAGAACTGCCAGCCCGGACCCTGCCTGAAGCAGGCCAAGTGGGGTTCGTGGGCGCTCCGCCGCCAGCAACTCCTCCGGCATCGATGCAGTACAAGCTAAAGCGGCTAAAGTGTGATGGCCACCGTGGATGATGCAACACAAGCAATTCTCAGCCTTGTAAACGCCGCAGAGGCCGAGCACAGCACAACGACAGAGCCGGTGCAGCCGTAACAGCTCCTTCCCGGCTTCTGTCCAAAGGCACGTCAATGTGAAGGGTCGAAAAGACATGAGGGCCACGGCAGGCTCCTTCCCAGGCCATCCAAAGACCGCGCTGTCGGACAGCTCGTCGCAACCTGCCTGGGGGATGTCTCGGTTCCAATTTATTCTCCCAGTGAAGACTCTTCGTCCTGCAGCTCGAGGAGGCAGTCGCGCATCTCCTGGCACGGCCGAGCAAGGCACTAAGTCACGGCAGCTTACGGCAACATACCGCAAGCTCAGCTACGGGGCTCCAGTTCCAAGGCGCCGCGGTGCTTCGCCAGTCCCTTCGCCTCCAGCTCGCGGAGCTCCAAACCGGGCCTAGCACGGAGCACGGCCGAGCACGGCTGAGCACGGGCAGCACTCCAAGATCCCCCGCCAGTTGTCCATGCCTCCGGGCTGAGCGCCGCTGGCCGAAGCGGAGAGACTTCTGGGCACACCTGCAGGCGAAGCCGCACTTTCACGAGCTGATTCTCAGGAAGTCCTGCCTTGGCAAGAAGGACGACGACTGAACGGTCTCTGCCAAGGAGACTTCCGAGCTGTTCGGAATCCTCACTGGCAAGCTCCATGCCGTCAAGATGTGCAGAGTGAGGAGTGCTACATGTTTCGACTGAAGTTGCTACGTCAAGCTTGCGTCTAGCAAGCTGACATCTGCTTTGCCTGCCACACTGTGGGTCCGTTTCCAATGAAGCTCTCCCTAAAGCTTTCGGCTCGGCTGCTGGCAAGGCTCAGATATCTCCTCTTGTCTGGCTTATCTGGATAATCACCGTCCCATGTGTCAAAGTAGTCGCCCTCCTCGCTGTCGGTGTAGCTGTCGGAATCCTCCTCACTGCCACTCTCATCCTGCAAACAACTAAGTCGGGTTTGAGTCAGTAAAGCCTCTGCGGGTGATTTCTAAAGGTTGCACGTCGCCTCTACACGATGCTAGTCGGCTCGGCATCAATCAAGCTTAGGAAATTCCTCGTGACTGGAGCTCAGACAGCCCTGGCTTCGGGAAGCGCATGGAGGGGGTGAAAAAGCGCTGACATTCCCTCTCCTGGCCTCGCTGAGAGGACCCTCGCCAGGACTCGTCCGGCTCCCTGCTCCTGCTCGACGTCCTGGTCTGCGTTTCTCCTGCAGTCGGTACCAGTAGCTTCACACCCGCACTTTGTCAGGATACCGCTTTCAATTCTGACAGCTTCGTCGAAAAGCACAGAGTCCTGCGACTTGTCTAAGAGCCCATCGGGACTCTGTGCAAGGACATCGTCGCCATGGTCCGCCTTCCTAGCGTTCCGTCGCCCCCGACGTCGAGACCTGCCTTGACCAACCTCCGCAACAGTGCATAGATGCGCATCACCCCAAAGAAGGCTTCTTGCAAAATGAATATTCAGTCTTGGGTTGCATGATGCTACAATGTGCTGCATGCCTCCTGGTGGTCGCTGTCGCCAACATCCTCCTCGTCCCCATTCCTCTCGCGCCTTCGTCTGCGGTGTTTACTGTCCTCGCAAACCCGATGCAGCGGCGCTCTGGACATGCGGTGACTGGCAGTGCCTCTTTACTCTCGTCTTCGTCTTCACTTCCGGTGCCACCGCTGCCGTCATCCGCCGCTTTTTTTCGCCGCCGCCTTCGTCGCGCCGTACTCTTTTCAGCTTGCCTGACCTGCAGACTGAGCAGCTGGGATGTCTGCAAACCCATCTTGCTCTGATTACAATGCATTGCAGTGTCGTCATTTACCCACAGGCCTTCGACGGGCTTTCCAGCGACTCATCCAAAGATGTAGTCGCAGTCCTGTTCTGTCGAAAGTTCAAGACTATCGCGCTCTGTCGCGTTTGATCCATGCATCAGAGCAGAAGGCCCAGCCTCGTGCCGAAGATGCTAAGCTGAAGCAAAGGATTGTGTCCTGGACGCTGGCGAAGTTCACAGGATGCTCTTGGGCCCAAGTTCCGCATGTTCTTGCCTGATGGTCTGCGACCTTGCCGCACCTCACCTCAGAGGTGCCCAAGACTTCGCACAGCGTCTGCGGTGCGCGAACTCCGCACTTCCCTACAATTCGCGCAACCTGCCTTGGAGGAGGCATCCCAAGCTTTCCTTTCGTTGCCTCAACCAGTCGTCCTCATAAGTCGAGAAAATGATGGAGATCCGCACTCGCAAGAATCCGTGAAGCTCCTCGGGCAAGATACCACCGAAGCTCGTCGAAGTTTGTCGATCTCCGCTGTCCCTGGAGCCTCTCGGCTAACTGGAGTCCCCCCCAGCCTGCAAGAAAGCCCTGTGCAAGAACCGTAGCCTCGTCGCAGCAGCCTTCCCACTGTCAGGCCCCTTCCTGCGTCATTGCCTGCACTTAGGTCAAAAGCAAGCACATGTCCAAGTCGTAGCACCCCCTTGCTGCGGCCTGCATCCGCCATCTGGCCGGACCCGGATGGTTGCACCTCCACGACCCGCTTCATCATCAGGGCAGCATGGACACCCTGGCCGAGTTGGCGCCACGTAAATTCACAGCGATGGTGCCGGAACTTTGGACTTGAATTCACTCGAGGCCTTCCGCATGGATGCGAAAGCACCGCGAACCTTCTCTCCAGCCTGGCTGGGCTTCAAGCAACCTACAATTATGTGGGCATCCGCCTCCACTTCTATACTGCAAATTCTGTCAGGACTGCCGTCAGGGGCTCGTCACCGTCGGTCGCCTCAGTCCTGACGGACTGATGCTTTGACAACCCTTTGGACCGTAAGTCTAAGCAACGCATCAGTGCCCAGCCTGATGCGATCCAAGCTTTTCCGCGCCCGCGCGAACGCCGCACGGCGGTAGCGGTAGGTGCCTGCCATCAAAGGTCTAGACCCACGAAGAATTCTAGATGGGGCCCGATCCACCTTCATCCTCTTTGCGACGCACCGGCGACGGGGGCGGGGCCTCCACTCTAGCAGCCCTCACAAGAACAAGCGCTCCATGTGCCTTTGATGTTTCCTTGGTGTTGGTAACTCACATGAGTTGGATTCTCCGCTGTCTTGGGTGAATCAACATTCTCAGACTTGTGCAAGCATTCAGATGCTTGCCTGAACCACGACTCGAGAGGAATCCGGCTATGAATCATCCGCCACGGGATGCAGGAAAGGCTGGAGGTTGAGGTTCATAAGGCTTCCGGTCTAAGAGTTCCGCCTGGATCTCCGATGCAGGGCCCGGTTTCGAGGAGACTTCGGCATTGACGGTTTCAAGCTCCGAGTTCTGAAAACTACGCAGGTTTACGCCTCCTGGCTCCGGTTTGGCTTCATGCGAGTTTCTTGGAGTCCCTCCCAGCACACTCACCCGGTATATGTTCGAATTCCCAACACATGATCGATCACCGGTGTACGCGACCATGGGAGCGCGGCTTGGCCTGGGCTTTCTTTTTTGCCGCCATCAAGGCCGAAGTCCATGGAGCTGCCGGGCCATCATAGCCAGCACTCCAGATCCATCTTTGCTCTGGACTCGAAGACTCTAGAGGTGTCTGCAGCCCAGACTGACTCTTGACACATATCGGGGTTCGAGTTTTCTCAGTACATTCAACATATTAATTCGATATCTTCATGCATCTTGGAGCTAGTTGGAGCAGAAACGCCGTGGATGCAGGACTAGGGCCTTGACCGCCTTCCGTACAAAAGGCCCTATAGGCCTAGAAAGCCCTGAGATGCAGACAGCGTGTCCATGGGTGTCGGCTTCCGGTTCCCTTGCTGACCTGACGAACAGGGGCTTCGTAGAAAAAGTCGCAAACGACAAGTCCTCTGGCGATTGGGCCGCTTTGGGAGCGTTTTCGGATTTGGGAAGTGTAATTGGTGCAATATGAATCTGATTTGGCTTCGGCCAACACGAAATGCTCACGAGAGCAGAAACGAGTTGTCAAACAACCAACATGTGGCCCTTACCATGTCGACCTGTATTCATAATATACACATATATATATATATATATATATCTGCCATCCTCGCTGAAAATGCACGGCGGTTTCTGTCTGTGCTGGGAGCAAGGCTCGCCGACTTCAATCGGCGGCCTGGCATGGCTCCAAAGCACCGCTGCTCTTGGCTGACATTAGAGAAACCCAGGCTGGGCATCTCTCGGCATCTCTCGCACAGCTGCGCCTGGGCCTGGTCACCAGCCGGGGCAGGCGTCGCAAGTCCTTGGGCCAACCGCGGAAGGTTGGCCTGCAGAGCGCACAAGCTAGTAGGCACCGGCCTGTAGAGACCCAGGGTGCCTCCCTGATGGTGGATCACTGACATGATCCTTCTTTCTGTGCAAACTCCTGCTTTCTGCCCGGCCAGGCTGTGCGATGAAGCCATCAGCAAATCTTGTCAATGCCTCGCTGGGCCTCGGGCCTCCAGCTTCGGCCACGCTACGGGGACAGCTGTCGAGTGAAAGACCAGCTTGACGTAGACAGCCATAATGGCCTAAAACCTGAACGCGCAACCGAAAAGATCGCGCCAGGCACGTCAAGCTGAAGACTGCATTACCAAGTCAGGCCCAAGTCCGATGGGCCAACAAACAATCGCCGAATCGCTCTCTTCCCAAGAACGATTCTTGTCACCGTCACGGGCAAAGCAAGACTGCCGTAAAGACCCGAAATCTGGCAAAAGCCTATCGTGTGACCACTTGAACTCGTTGCGTTGCTGCCCGTGTGTTCTCCGCACGTTATTTGAAGCTAAATTAATGGAGCGATTGTTCGGAACGACCTCCCATCAGCGCTGGTTGAGGGTCGTCGCGACGGTCTTCTGCAGATTCCTCCGGGGGGCCGGGGAAATCTCAGAATCTCAAAAGGATGGGCTCCGCTTTGCAGCGCTGAGGCCTCCGAGGCCTCGGACTGGCCCATGGAGACGACCACCTGATCGCCGAGGGTCGCCGAGGAGCCGGGCCCCAACGAGGGGCGAACTTTCGATGCGATTCCGAACGGATCTGTCCTCGAGCTCGGAATCGGAGGCAGAGCTCTTCGGAGAAAGTGCAACCTGCACCAAGAGGATAGGTGCTGCCACGAGCTTTTGCTGCATGATCCCTCTGACCACCACCAGTACAGACAGCTCCACAGCTCAAGGGCACTCCATGTTTGCATGGGTTAGGATGCGCACGCAACCTCCATTTCAAGATCGAGGGTAGATCATCGCAAGACTTTGGGTAAGCTAAGCTTCATTCTCACCTCCCCATCCTTTGTCTTCGGTCGTCTGTCTTTGCAGCACAGCTTTCCGGCAATCAATCCTCGGAGAGAGATCAGGCCACAAATCGAATCCAAGTGCCTGGAAGACCTAGAGAACAAATGGCCCTACATGTTTGGAAGGGCTGAGTCCCAAAACAGGGATCAGCACCTCTCAAGATGTGCGCCGAAGTGTCCGATGAGGGACGCGGCCATGCTGCTGTTCACCCCTGCGGCCACCCGCAGCTGCAGATCGCGCCCCTTATCCGAGGGCTTCGGGCTTACAGGATAGTTCGAAGTTCGGCCGAGGCCACACTGCACCAAAGATTCGTAAGGCCACTAAATTTAATTTTCTCCGATCGACCAAGTGTTCTTCTGGTGCTATTGGCCGCAATGCCAGGAAGGAGCTGGCATCATGCCTCGTCTCGTGCATCATCAGGTCATGTAGGCTGGAGATACAGCAGCGTGCTGGTAAAGCGATGCCTAGGGCTCCCACGTTGCAGCAGAGGCGGCTGTGAAGTCATGCGCAACTTCAGGGAAGTGTAGCAACCAAACGCATGCCGCAAGCAAACTTTCCTATAGGAAAATCGGACTGCGAACAGAAAGAAACCTGCATGGAACTGTCTCCCACTGCAAAGCCAACAGCGTGGTAGCACCGTACACTGACTGTACAAGTTCCCATGCCAGGGCCCACCATGCGCATCGCCGACGCCGTCATGATCAGAAAACAGCGAGAGCAGCGAGTTGGGCAAAATGCTGATCGCACCTTGGTGGCAATTCAGCTTGAAAGACAGTTTCAGATACCTACGACATGATATGTCATCAAATTTCAGAACTTTGACAAAAACTATACCTCTGATGCCGGCGGCTGGAAATCCCAACAGCTACGTCATCGCGCCGCCGATACTCCACAAGGCTCGAATGATCACTAGCGCACAGTATGTCCACCGAGGAGCCACAGGATCGGTCCAGGTCTGCAAGCTCGGCCGGCATCGGATCGAGGCGGTCGTACAGAGATGGAGATGTGCGGGGCTTAGACAGGCTGACGAGGAATGAGGCAATGAGGCTAAAGCACCCTCGAATGCCGTGAAGACTTCGGACTCAACCACATTCGATGAACTTGCTTCTCTTGTAACAAGCATCGATCCAATGATAGGGCTGATAAGATTGCGCACAGACGAACGATCCACATCCGATGAATATCAAGGAATCAATGTCTGGCGAACACACGACTGATGCAGAGAAAGTGTTTTCCGGTAATTCTGATCTGATCTATGCAAGACGTCATCTTGGCCCGTCCGTCCCTGCACACTGCCTGCCAAGGGGGAGGCGGCGGCCGTGAAGAGCGGCGGCAAGCTCTGCCAGAGCCTGTGCGGGGCGGCCAGGCAGATCCATTTCGGCCCCTCGCAAGGAGTACAGGGCCCGGCGCCTCACTTTGCAGCTTGCTCAGGCCAGCATAGAGCACATCCAGCCAAGGCCCCACATGGGGGTCCTGTAGTGGACCCGACTGAACATTTTACCACAAGAAAGCAGGTGACTCCACTCTACATCACTTTACCATGCCGCACTGACAGACTCAGCTCGAGTCCTGCACCTGCACTTGGGGCGGATGGCGGGATTCGACCTGAGAAGAATCTCAGGAATCTCGTCCACCAGCAGTAAGCTTCAGTAGCCATACAAAATGCGAATAAGGCGGAGCAGTAGTTGAGCTCGCGACATCAACTATCAACCAGTAAAGATCGCGCCTCCGCCGCAGGCACACAGGCAAGCATGGGCATCACTGTAGCATGGACACCGATGCACTTTGTCACCGAAACAACTCTATTCCACACAGAAGAATGTGCCATCTGAGTTTTCTACCTGCATGCGCATTCGTTCTACCACTGGCTCGCCTGAGTTGCAGTTTTGCTTGCACTGCTCGAGTTGCAAGGGCGCGCCTGGCCACTGCAAGATCAAACAAATCTGCGCAACCACAGCGACTGCAGCACAGGATGCATCCCGAGACTCACTGGACGATGACAACAGCTCAATGAAACCAATCGGCAAGGCATGGCCACTAGACACGTGAGGCAAAGAGTGTCACCTCAGCTTGCAGCCCTGCCAGAGTGCCGCCGCCCGGCTTTGAGGCTCGGCACCTGACAGTCAGCACAGCGTAGACTCCATGCACCGGACATAATCCAACTGCATCATCGTCGGAATCACAGAACATGCAGCAAACTTTCAGGAAGAAAAGTGGACATCAGGAGTCGCCTAGCGCACACGCTGCAAACGACCACACTCCCCTGGCCTGTGTACACCGCAAATTCAGCCAGAACCGCGTCGATCGCAGAGCGCTCCGAGTCCTTCCCGGCTTTCCTCGTTTCTGGCTCTGGCGCTTGCACCGCCTGCACCTTGCTCGCCTTCGGCACCTCGCAGCAAGGCTCCTTCTTCACAGGTTTTTCCACAGTAGCCCTAAAGGCCAGCGCATCTCCGAGCACATCACCAAAGCTTCCGTCCAGAACCTCTCGTGCCTTCCGTCTCGATCTCCAGGCTCTTTGAATTCTCTCGCAGCTGCCTTGTAGTAAACAGTGTCACCAGCTACAGCATCTTGGTCGACTGCCTAAGCAAAAAAACCTCGACGCAGCTCCAAAGACGGCACCACGAGTCTCGATGCTCAGCGACAGACAGCGCAAAAGCCTCGCTTTTCGAAGCTGCGCAGGCAGCCGTCGCCTAGGCTCTAGATCTCCTCTTGGCATGACAGCCATTCCTCACTTAATCCCTGTTTGCCAGGCCTGGATGGAGAAAGCTAGGCAGGATTGGGACGCGTGGAATGTGTGAGGGTCCTAGACCTGTCATGACCATGCCTGTCCAGGCAGCCATGAGACCGTCCCAATGTCCCACGCCACCAGCGGCTGATCCGCACAGCCTTGGCGAAAGGAAACAGTCAGGTTACAACGCATCCCTCACATTGGCAGCAAATTCGCCTTGATTCGATTGGGACACGGCTAGCAGGTTTCTCTGCAAGTACGTAATGGAAGATCAACCTCCAAGCCAATGCAGTACTGAACAACAATAACAACCTCTTCAGCCCTGAAATCCAAACAGGCGCTGTCGCAGGTCCCTGTTCGGTTGTAGTGCTTACAGGCAGGGCCTGGCAGCAGAACGGTTAGCTGCAGGCATGGGGAAGATAAGACTTGTTGCTGCCGTTCTGGGGCGTTTAACGTTGTGCATTGCGTGCACCCTTCCGAGGCAGCACTTTCGTCACCGCATCATGCAATACATACATGTCCTGCGCTTCCACCCGGTGTGTTACCAGTGCCTCCTTCACAACCCCGTCAACATGTTCGCTGGTCATTTTGAAGTCGAAAATGATCTTGCCCAATTCGACAGGGTAGATCTCGGCACGTCGCAAACAAGCCCCCAAGAGCATATCTTCGATTGATTCAAGTCTCACGTCCAAGAGCTGATTCATGCAGAACCTGAGGCCTGGCACTGCACTTCGAAGAGCGGCACGGCTCAATACATACCCCAGGCCGTGTGCGAATTCGGTCCACTTCACATATGCCGGGCCGTGCGCCAGAGTGACCTGCCCTGCGTAGATCCTTGCTGATGCGTTTACTGCTCGAAGGGTCGCCCAGAGCCTGGGAACGTTCACATAGGCATCCGTGTCTGCCTTCATGAAGAACATGCAGTCCTAGGATCACAGTGGACTCGGGATCCGCTTAGGGCAAAGGCACCCTTCATGCAGCCCTGTCAACATTAATGCAACTTGCTGGGAAGAGGCTGACCAGTGATACAGCGCAAGAGTCAACCACATGTAGATGAAGCGCAGCGCATTGAACTTGGGGTGCCGAAGGTCGACATCTCCCCTCAAGGACAGGGTGGCATTGGCCCACTCCGGGAAGAGGGGGCGGCGACTGTAAAGAAGTGCCAGCACTGGAGACTCCTGGCGTGCGTCCGGCGAGTTTTGAGGAAGGTAGGGCTTTGCCCAAGTCTCCGCGGCAGCCACAGCCCTGTTTATCTGTTTCGGGGATGCATCTGTGGTAGGCATCAGAATGCAGAGCTTGCGCCCGCGAGCTGAACGCAGCTTCTCGACAGCAGGTCCTTGGGGTCGCGAGGGCTCCAAGAGTTCGCGCCTCAGCAGCGAGAGCCCCAGCCCTGTTTCGGAGACCGCCTCTTTCAACGGACAACGAGCTATACTTCGAGCAACGCGGTAGCTCCATGGCGGCGCCAGGGCCATCGGCTCCAAAATGGATAATGCTACCGAACACCCGATCTCGTTTCGAACGATGTCGCGGCCACGACCCTCCAACGGGCCTACCAGCCGCACACGCCGGTGAATTTCCAACAGGCTGGCAGGTGTCTTCGCTGCCACAACCAGAACACAGTGCCCAGAAGGATGCAAGTTGCGAAGACGCTGAAGCGGCGAGTTGAGACGCTGTGCGGGGACTGCTTGCATTAGCACCTCCTGCTCAGGGTCGCCCAAACGCTGTAATAGCAAACGGAGCTGTTGCCACAAACACAGCGTCACGTAAAACCCCGAAGGCCAGTTCCACCCAAACCCGTGGGCATCACTGCTACTCGACAAGTAGTCTGCACACTTCGGGACCCAATCAGATCGCAGACTCAACAACAACCTGCGGCTGAGGATGTATCCGGTAGCCTCATCTGCCAGAGCAACTCGTGCCTGTCCGATCATAGGGCCCAGCGCGTAATATTCAGGGTGCAAGCCTTTCACGCAACTTAATCTCTGCGCGACTCGCTTCACATTCACGTAGGCACCCCCGTCCACATGCATGAGCCAGTAGCAGCTATCCAGCCACGAGGAAGTGTTTGAGTGATCCAGAAGCTTCTGGCGCAGTGCTGTCCATAGGCTCAGCCCTCGACTGTAGGGACGCTCTGGGAGTTCAGTGCGATCCGGGAGGTGAAGCCGGCGTACAGAAGGGGAAGAAGGCGTGGGCGTGCAGTTGGAGCACGTAGGCACACGCTCCAAAAGCTCCTCCGACTCCGGCTCCGCGGTCTTAGGGCTCCCAAAGTCCACGAAGACGGTTTGGTCGGTGGCCCAGGTTTCTTGGATCCTCTCTTTCCAGGCACCCCAGGCCTGGTCACGTCCCAATACGAAGACACACAGCTCTCGCGCATGCATATTCATGTATATTATGCTTCATGAGTTGGGGACTTGGCAAACGGCTATAAGGGCGGCACTAGACGTCTTCGATCCTAACAAGCTTCACGGAAGCTCACATCCCCTCCATCCCTTACCGAGCTCCCGAGCAGAAAGCTCTCGGTGTTGCCGCCGAAGGAGTACAAGCTCAGAGGCCTCACAGCCTCTTTGCACGAGATTGCACGAATCTTGCATCTTCCCTGCAGTAAGGAGGGCACCGCTGCCTGAAAGAAGCCGTTGACCAGATGCCATCGCGCTGATCGGCTTACTTGTAGTTCACTACAGGAGATGAAGACTGAGTTTCCAAAGGCTGGCCACGCACTGATCCATGGATCCAATCTTGCTGGACTTTCCTCGCCACTTTCCTATGCGCCTCGTTCTTGCTTAAGGATATCCAGATACAGAGTCACGATGAAGGGAAGGGTCAGCGACACCGAGACTGCAAAGTCCTTGCTGTTTTGCCCTGCCCGCATTCTGTACGACAGCCCGGCGAGAGAAAACCTTCGGTTGACTAAGGCTGCATCAAGCAGCCAGCTGCATCTCGAAACGGACACACTTTGGGGTCAAGCTAGAGGAAGCTCGTCTGTACAAATCGCTCCAACTCCAGTTCGAGTCTCAATCGGAGTCGTCAAAGGCGCGAGCTAATAATCCAAAATCTGAGTCTAAGTCACTGTCGGACGCAGGTGAAATTCGCTTCACCTGCTTGAACACCACAGAGACCTGCAAATGGAGCCCCAGAATGCTTCCAGCTTGGGGGCTTCGAAAGCCTGCACACATCCATGGCGCCATAGCCTCGTCCGGCAGCATCGCAGCAAGGGTGTGATCTGCAAGCAGGTCGCCTGAAAGCAGCTCTCAGCTGTCAGGGCCCCTCTCGTCTGAGTCAGAGCAGTCCCTGCCTGCAGCAAAGAATTGCGCATCACGGCGGTGGCAAGGTTCCACTGCTGGCAGTTGCGCTTCAACCTGCTTCAGCAGAGTCTGCTTCGCGGAGAAGAGAGTCCTCGCAAAGGACACGGGTTTGAACAACTCTATCCTCGGCATCAGAGCCAGTACTGCCAAAAGGCAACATTCCAAGCAACAACTGTGCCACGGGTCTATCAAGAACCTGTACTGCCCGAACACAGCCAACGTCACTGGCCAAGTTTCTGCTTCGGCTGCAAAGTCAGTTCGACAGCCTCAACAGGTAATTTGACACATGCTTGACTGCTAGATGAACCACACGGCTGCTTTCCAACGGCCCTTGTTACCGAAAGTGTTGTCCCGTCGTGCAACTGTAAGATGTGGCGGTGAAGCTGCAAGTCGTCGCGTCATGACTGAATGACAGGTTCGGTCACACAACGCCTGACACAGACATGAGCAACGGTCCTGGCTGGCCTGACATCTTACTGAGATTTCCGGTTATCGAGGTTTGGTTCAACGCAGGAGTGCACTCTGCCGTGGCACAATGCGCTGTATCCTTGCCATGTAACGCTCCGTCCCGGCAATGTCCGTTCTCGACTGGTCTGTTTCCTGTGTTAATGCCACTTTGCCCGTCTGCGAGGTGCCCACCTGCAGTCTTGTGACAGACTAGTTGCTCCTGTTCACGGCCACCCACCCACAACAGTGCCGACACATCATAACTCTTCGCAAAGGATGGCCTCCCCGGTGAGCGATCGGAAAGTCACTCGTCGAGCAGCGCCCCGTCTGGCAGCAAAGCTGCCGAGCAACCGCGCCCAACGTTCCTCGTGAGATTGCTGGGGCGGTTGGCCTACTAAGTTTTTGGTGGCGTCTACAGATAATCCAAACCTTTGCTAGCCTGCGAAAGCCTCTTGACTTATCACTCGTTCAGACCGTCTGTCACATTGCCGTTTACGATGCAAGCAGATGCCCGACTCCGAATCCGGCATTGTCACTGTCAAAGTGCACGCATTTCAGAATCAGAATTCAACACCTGCAAACACGTGCACAGGGCTCCCATTCAACCAGTGTGCCTCGGCTCCCTATGAAGCATCGCACTACACTCACCATCTGACAAACGGGGTCCTGGTCCTCGAGTTTCAACATGCGACCGACTGCCTCACTCCTGCCATGGATGATTCGAAACCAGCAGAGCATGAGTTAAAAGCTTCAACACCAACAGCAACATGCTGGACATGCTGTTTCATCAATCAGCATCTTTAGCACTATCGCCGGAAGCTAACACGACGACACTAGAATGCTATCCGACGGATACTTCGACAAACACTCAGTGTAATCAAACTTGAAAACATGCAACCACAGCAGCACTGAGTCCCTGCCTTTGACAATCATCTAGCTCATCCAGAAAAGTTTGCACATCGTCTGCAAAGGGCTCCACATGAGTCATGGTTGCTTCCGACGCTGATAAGAAAGAATACTGGATTGTACCGTTGTCGTGCACAAATTGATGCCCGCTGAGCTGCTGCGTGCTTGCATGAGGAGGTTGGGCGCTAAATTAACAGCTTACACGAACTCATCTTGAAGTAAAAGTATCTAAAGCCAAAATCACACAGGATAGCAGGTAAAAGTTCAACATTGACATACAAAAGACACTTTGAACCAAGCCGCATTAACGCACACTCGTCAGCGTTGTCAAGCGATGGATGGAAGCATTTTCTACAAGCCTTCCGCAGCTTGCAGCAAGACTTTAACTTGTGAGATGACTGAAAAATAAGTTGGCATCGTTCCCGGCAGAAAACACAGAAACCCAACCAACAGAAAATCGAACACTGCTTCTTGCCTGACACCACAACAATCCAGAGAAAGCCACACAAGAACAGTAATGCTGGAGTTGGAGGGAGCGCAGCTCCACAGTTGAACACGTTGCAGCCGTTCATTTGATTCAAGAAAAAAGAACTGAAGAGTCTGTTTCTAAAGCGGCTAAGAGCTGCAAAGGGATGCTTCGTTTGGACCACCTCTGCGGAGGGATTTGGAGAGGGTGCAGTCTCTTGCGAGGTGACTTTCTCGAAAACGTTGCTACCAGCGTGCTGTGAAGCACTGCAGTTCTTGCATCGTAACGATCCATTGGTCTGAATTTTGTACACAGATCCTTGTTGCTAAAAGAAGGAGGGCGGTGGCGCGGAACCTTCGACTCTGACGAAGGCATCGAACACGAGGAAATTGGCCTTGCCTTCGGAGGTCTCGCTGGGAAGGGTGTTCCAGTTCTCCACTCT